AATTTACTCGGATTTTACACGCCTCCACTAAAAGGACCCACGCTATGGACAAGGAGGTGAGAAAACTAATAGATAATAGGGCGGTCAGAGAAGTAGCATATCTGGAGTGACTTTAAAATGTGATAATGGTAACTAAAGTCAATGGGAAGTGGTGCCTCTGCGTCGACTTTACCAAGCTCAACAAGGCGTGCTCGAAGGATAGCTTTTCACTACCACAAATCAACCTCCTCATCGATGCCACCTCAGGACATGAGTTGCTCACCTTCTTGGATGTGTACTTGGATATAACCAGATTAACATGCACCCCCCAGACCAGGAGAAGACATCATTTATCACTCCGAATGGGATCTAATGTTACATGGTCATGCCCGTCGAGCTAAAGAACACAAGAACAACCTATCAACGGCTAGTGAACAAAATGTTTCAATCTCATATTGGGCTAATAATGAAGGTATACGTGGATGAATTCCTGGTGAAAAGTCTCACAGCAGCATATCACATTGACCACCTCCAGGAAACTTTTAACGTTTTGAGGTCCTATCACATGAAGCTGAATCCTAAGAAGTGCGCCTCTTGGCGTAGGATCAGGAAAATTCTTAGGTTTCATGGTCAATCAGAGGGGAATTGAGGCGAAAACTAACAAAATCAAGGCCATCCTCGACATGAAGTCACCCTCCTCCACTAAGGAGCTCCAACGCCTCAATGGGAGAATTGCAGCACTTACCAAGTTCATTTCCAAGCCTACAGACAAATGTATGCCTTTCTTCAAAATTCTCCAAAAGGCCTTTCGAGTGGGGACCTAAGGCAGAGGAAGCCTTCCAAAGGCTCAAAGTCTACTTGGCCATTCCTCTCCTCCTATCACATGCTACTCCAGGAGAAATTTTGTATCGATACCTTTCTGCTTCCCATCGGCAGTAAGCTCCTTCCTCATTTGAAACTATGATGGAGTGTAGAAGCCTATCTACTATGTGAGCAAAGCATACCGGGGGGCAGAGGTTAGAAAAGCTAGCGCTCGCCCTAGTCTTAATGGCAAGGCACCTACGATAATACTTTCAGAGTCACAACATTGTTTTTTTTCACAGACCAACCTCTAAAAAGAGTCCTGGGAAAATCAGACGTATCCGGGAGACTCATTATGTGGGCAATGAAACTCGGCGAATTCGATATTCAGTACTAGCCAAGGGCGGCCATCAAAGCACAAGCCTTGTCAGATTTTATTACCAAGCTTACACCAGTAGAGGAGGAGACCAATGAACTTTCCACACTTCAGCTATCAAACTCAGACACACAAAACAATCTCACTCCTGGCAGAGACACCCAGGTGCCCAAGCACTCCCAGACTTCCACCCCAGGCACCTAGATCTCCTTTCTAGGCGCCCAAATCTCCTCTCTAGGAGCCCAGATCTCCTCTATAGGCACCCAGACCTCCACCTCAAGCGCCCAGTTTTCCTCCTCCGATGCCCAGCCTTCCTCCTCTGGTGCCCAGACACCCCCTAGCACCCAGGCACCCTCTGGCACCCAGATTGGCACCCAGGCATCTCCCTCCGGTGCCTAGGAACCCTCTGTCACCCAGCCTTCCTCCTTTGGTGCCTAAACACCCCCTAGCACCCAGGCAACTCCCTCTGGCATCCAGACTGGTGCCCAGGAATCTCCCTCTGGTGCCTAGGCACCTTCTAGCGCCTAGACTGGTGCTCAACCTTCCTCCCTGGTGCCCAACCCCCTAGCACCCAGACTGGCACCCTAGCAACTCCCTCTAGCACCCAAAATGGCGCCTAAGCATCTCCCTCTAGCACCCCAGCCTAGAGCCCTGGCTCCCACGGAGATCTCTAAGCATTCCTTTTTACCACTTTGGAAGCTCTACGTGGACGGCTCCTCGACCAATGAAAGAGGTGGAGCAGGCCTAATCCTAATCAGCCCCGACTGCACTCCCATCAAGTATGCAGTGAAGCTCTACTTTACTGCCTCCAACAATAAGGCAGAATACAAAGCCCTACTCTTTGCCTTAAGATTGGCAGTCAAAATAGAAGCCCAACACATCGCAACTTACAGTGATTCTCAACTTATAGTTAATCAAGTAAAGGGAGAGTTCGAAGCAAGAGTAGCCAGAATGCAGAAATACGTTGGTATGGTGAAAAGCTTAATCATGAAGTTCCAATACTTCTAGATCTATCACATCCCGAGAGAAGACAGCATGGCCGCAAATGCACTCGCCAGGCTCTCCTCATCCTTGGAAGCCTCACCAGGAGGACTAGCATTCATTGGTCACCAGTTCAAACCAAGTACGCTAGGCGTAGACACTGCAAACGTCAATTGCACTTCTACCGAGTCAAACTAGATGATCTCGATAAGGACATACCTCTAAGAGGGCATGCTTCTAGATGATACCCTTGAATCCAAGAAACTAAGGATGAGAGCCTCCAAGTTTACCATCTTACAAGACACTTTGTACAAAAAAGGCTACTCCTTGCCAATGCTACGATGCCTTTCGCCCTGCGGGAGATCCATGAAGGGGTGGGTGAAAATCATTCTAGAGGACGTTCCCTTGCCCACAAAGCACTCAGACAGGGGTACTTCTGGCCTAGCATGATGACGGACGCCTATGAGTTCGCCAAGAAGTGTGACAAGTGTTAGCGCTTTGCCACTGTGCCTAGACAGCCACCAGAGGAGCTAACAACCATCATGAGTCCATGGCCTTTCTCCAAATGGGAGATCGAAATTCTAGGCCCCCTACCTCTGAGCAGAGAACAATGCAAGTTCGTTGTGATCGTTGTTGACTACTTCACAAAGTGGGCCGAGGCAGAAACTTTAGTAAAAATAACAGATGAAAAGGTGAAATATTTTATCTGGAAAATCCTGGTCTGTCGCTTCGAGATACCCACGTCATTGTCAGTGACAACGCCAAGCAGTTCGACAATAAGTTCCTGAACTCCTTCTGCTCCGATCTTCAGATAAATCACCCTTATTCTAGCCCAGCGCACCCACAAGCAAATAAGCAAGCAAAAGTTATAGTGAGAACGGTGCTATGCAACCTGAAGACAAGGCTCGAAAGAGCGAAGGGTCTTTGGGTGTACTATGGGCCTACAGAACCACACTGAGAACTCCAACAGGAGAAACCCCTTTCTCCCTCACCTTTGAAACTGAGGCAATTATCCCTGTGGAGATCGGGGTTCATTCTCTAAGGGTCCAACACCACGACCCCGTCACCAACGAGGAAGGACTCCGCATCAACCTTGACTTGGTAGACGAGGCAAGGCAAGAGGTTGTGGTCCACAACATGGAGTACAAGCGTCGCATGGTAAAAGTACTACAACTCGAGAGTGAAACTTCGTTCCTTCCAACTAGGAGACTTGGTCCTCAAGAAGGTCATCCTTGCCACTAAGGATTTACGAGAAGGGAAGCTGGGACCAAATTGGGAAAGACCTTACCTCATAACTGAAGTGGTGAGGCCAAGCACCTACAGGATACAGAATTCTGAGGGGAAGGTTTTACCCCATCCATGAAATGTTGAGCACTTGAAGAGGTACTACTAGTGACACTTTGAGAGAATAGAAAATTGGGGACTTGATTTTATTTTTTGTACTTTTTGTGGGGCTATTATCCAATGTTGCTTGACATGAGCAGTGAATAAATAAAACTTCAAAAGATTTTGCATTTTTGTATTCAACGTCAAAAGAGCATCAGTGGTGAAAACCACTTTTACAAAAGAAGGGCTACAAAATGCTAGAAAAAGCCTGAAACATCATCCTAGCTACTCTCATGGTCATCCTCCTCTTCACCTTCTCCATCATCATCAGCCTCGTCAGATCCCCCATCATGATGAGCCTTCACGGCCTGTAATTTTCATTCTTGGTCTTTGGAGAGCATAGGCGAATCTGCAAGGGGATGATGGGAACACACACACACACACAGATATATATAAATATATAAGAGAGAAAAAGATTAAGGGCGTATTGAGTTTCCTAGCAACACCCCCATCGTGTTGGTACTAATGCCCTATCCACCTTTGCAGCCCACTTTTTGCCAACAAATAAGAAACAAGATTTCTAGCTGTGGCAATTAGAGGGTAATCCCGTAAGCAACTTACCACCTCTCGGGGTAAAAGAGTACCACCCTCTATTCGGAGCATGAGTCTCACCCAAGTTATAAGCTGCATGAAATTCAACAGGGGAGGCATCTTCATGATGCACTTTCCTCCACAATACCAAGAAACCCAGCAAAACTCTCCAACCGTTAGGCGCCAACCGTCCAAGTATCAGTGAAAATTAATTTAGGATGCCACAAATGGAAGGAGGCATTGGGAACCTGAGCCCAGCCTCAAGCATCTCCTTGTAGATGAAAATGTCATCGGATGAATCATCACAAGCAAGCTCACCCATTTTAGCACAGCGGCACAGCACAATCGGAAGAATGTGGTAGGCAAAAACAATCCGTAAAATATCGGTGTCTATATTTAAAGTACTAGAAATAGTACTTACTTTAGACCCTTCATCATCAGGGGCCACTTTGCCTTTGTGCTTTTTTACGCGAGGACGAGAAGAGCTGCCTGAGTTAGCAGAAATCTTACTTTGAAGAGTTTCACTTAAAGGAGCCAAAACATCCGCCACAGGGGTCCACGCCCGTTGGTGCCCAGATCGGCACCCAAGTCAACATGCCATACCTCCTAGTCACCTGAACTCCTCAAATATGTGCTCAAAAAGGCACCCAAACCAGCCTGCTCACCCAAATTGGCCAAATCAGCTCCTAGAAAGGCATTTGGCCTAATCTACTAATCCCTATGCCCCATTTGGCGAACACCGTGCAAGCTTAGTTCAGCACCTGAAGTGGCGCCCAGATGGTCGCTCAGTCCAATGCCTATAGCGCCCAGATTGTTGTCTAGAACAGCACCTTTGCCGCCCAGATTACTGCCCAATCTAGCACACGCCTTGCTCGTCTGCCACAGGGGCTGCTCGCCCAAAGGCCTGGGTTGCACGTCGGCTGGCCTGGGCAGCTCACCTGTTGTCCTATGCAGATGTAGCGCCCATCAAGTCAATGCCTAGCTCCTCGTCTTCCTCACTCACCACAGGGGCTGCTCGCCTGCTGGCCTGGGCAGCTCGCCTACTAGCCTGTGCAGATGCAATGTCCCCGATTTCCAAATCTAGGTGACCATTGGAGCTCTCCAAAATAGCGTGCCCCACACGCTCAGTCTCACCTCTGTATGCACCTGAGGCAGCGTCTAAAGGGGTGCCCAACAATACTTTCTCACGCGCGTGCCAAACATCCCTTGACAACACCTCTCCTCCCTTCTCTCCGGGATTTCCACTAAGATCCACCAGCTCACCTCCACCATGTTCGAGGGCAAGGTGCCCATCACCTTCAATACATACCTCTCCTTCTTCGATGATGGTGGATGCTTGCACTCTCTCCTTTCTAGTCGACAGTGATACTCAAACTCAAGAATCCCAAACCTTGGGTCTCCAAAGATTTCAAGAAGGAGCACTCTTGAATGAGTTGAAGGAAATGGGTAGAATGAAGAAGAAAGTTTATATTTACAGTCTAGGGTTTACAAAGAGTGAAAAGCCCAAATTAAAAATCAAGGGCTCTCTTTAAAATCCCAACAAAAATAAGGAAAGACTTGGGTATCCTGAGAAGTAAGATATATCACAGAGGGGAATAGTCATCTACCAGAAGGAGACTCCACCACCTAGAGCTCAAGATTCAAGGGCTCTTATAGAATTCAAAAGGATGAATGAAAGGAAGAATTTATATAGCTGGAGATGTCCTACAGAGCTAAAATACATCAGAAAATCGTTTAAGGTCCGGGGTCGCTGCCCCCGTGCCCCTACCACCTGACTGGGCAGGTGGAACCCCGTGACCTGTCCAGGCAGGTCAATCCCCGAGTCGAAGCGCAACATGGATATAGCGGGAGAGGAGTCTTCATGAGCCAGAATTCAAATTCAATTAAATGCCTCCTTCTCCAAGTTTTCTTAGACACGGGGGTATTAGGGGGCAAATAATGGGTCAGGCCCAAATGGCTCAATCCATATTGAAAGCCCAACCATAATCAAGAGCTCAAATTTATCAAGACCCAATAGGCCCAGGCCCAGTAAAACTCATCAGCTTGGCTACGTCATCAAGAAAGCATCTAGGAGCCTCACTCTCACAGCCTTGGAAATAGTCAACCCTCACCTTATCTTTGACCGAATCTCAAGGAGAGCACCTCAACCACCTCGCCCGTTAAGAAGAAATCTTGAGCTCCATCAGAATAGTTATTTAGTTGCTGTTAAGTCTCCCCAATCTGTTAGAGGGCGCTTATAAATTGTAAGCCCCACCAACACTTGGGGGGCATCACACTTTGTTGAGCACAACTTTCTCCTCTCCCTTGCAACTTGTAGCTCTCTGCTCTTCTTGTACATTTGAGTTAATAAAATATCTGGCGACCCTAGTCATTCAAAAGTGGACGTAGGTCATTTTCACCGAACCACTATAATTCTCGTCTTCTCTCTACTTTAATTACTGCATTTATTACTCATACTTGACAGGTGGTGTGCAAACCCAATTTGTGCATCATTAGTTCTTAAAAAGAAAATATAGTCTAAACATAGAAGTAAGAAAGAAACCTCATTATGAAGTGTTTCACGATTGAGCTTAGGGAAAGGGAAGACATTCCTCAATGTCTCAGTACCTGGGATGCTTGCTTAGGCGCCATTTCTCTCATGTCAAACACCTTCGCCTCCCCCTTGGCTATCTTGACAAGCATAAATCCACCTCCACCAAGGCCACTTCCAGCTGCGTTCACAACACCCAAGCAGAGAACAGCAGCCACTGCTGCATCCACAGCATGGCCTTGTTCACGAAGAACATTCCTCCCAACTTTGGAGCACTGAGTATCATCAGTGGCAGTGACACCAGAACGTGCCCTAATCATCTCGCCTCTGGTGGCAGCATTTGTCAGGCTTGGTCTGGAAGACCATAGCAACATGAAGAGCAATGTGGTGGCACAAGCAAGCCATGACATGAAANAGTATCATCAGTGGCAGTGACACCAGAACGTGCCCTAATCATCTCGCCTCTGGTGGCAGCATTTGTCAGGCTTGGTCTAGAAGACCATAGCAACATGAAGAGCAATGTGGTGGCACAAGCAAGCCATGACATGAAAGAAGCTGTAAACAAGAAAAAAAAAGTGGTTTCAGTCCATAATCAACAATCTTAGGTTGATCAAGAGCCTCTACGAACAATCAATACAAAATTCAGCCACTTCTATAAAGGAAGAAAGGGCTATATTCGAACAACTAAACTTTGAGACAAAACTTGATTAATTTCATATTAACATTCTAGATTAAACTATCTAGAAACTTAATGACCATGAAGGGCCATGTGGAAGTCACAAGTAGTAATGAATTGTGGCATTTACANTTATAAAGGAAGAAAGGGCTATATTCGAACAACTAAATTTGAGACTTAATTTCATATTAACATTCTAGATTAAACTATCTAGAAACTTAATGACCATGAAGGGCCATGTGGAAGTCACAAGTAGTAATGAATTGTGGCATTTACATGTGTCAGGGGCCATTTTTCCTCTACTTTTGCTCATAAGAAAGACGTATGTACGGTAATAAAGAAACAATTCATTCATTCATTCTTGAAGTTGTGCTTTAATATGTGTTTTTAGGTTGCTGTGAATAAACTTCTAATCTACATAAGAAATTTGGCTTTCTACAAAAATTCAATCCATACTGTAATATTGAAGGCACACTTTCATTGCACTACAACCCAACTTCATCTCTAAATAGTCATAAATTAATATCGTAACCAAATGTTTTTTCTAATTTTGTTTGCAGCTTGGCCAGTCTCATTTGATATATTTATCGAAGTAGGCTACTTCTTTACAGCACATTGAACAGACAAGGATAACAACTACAATAGGTTTGTTTGTCCTTTCCTCCAACGAAGTGTATCATATTTGAAGATCTAAATAGACGTTTAAAACTCATTTATAATGCGCCATGAGCAAGCTTAAGAAGAATCTATAATCAGAAATGAAAAAACTCTATGTAAATATTTCGAATTTAATACCACAAAAGGATAACTTATATACAGGAAAGTAAACAAATTTATGCTTTGAGTTTGTACCATAGACAAACATTATGGCACAAGCAAAGTGGGAAAGAAAGTCTGTCAGAGGAACTAACAACCTCACCTTTATAGGGTGTGAGCATTTTCATTAATGTACGATGTTTTAGACCAAGAGTAGATAAGACCTACATTTACTACAGTCATATCTCCAACTAGATTTTGTTATTCCTTCTTAATTTTAGAGTAAACATGATTAAAGTGCACCCAAAACCCTAACCTGGCTCCTCTATGCAATGCACCAAAAAAGTGCCCTACATTTTTGCTAAGGAATTAATGTAACTAATTTGGAAGAATTCAGATTTAGATACCTTCCATTATCCATTCCCTTCAATTTCTCTCAATATAGTGTTAGATGAGTGACATGTGTAAGATTTTGAATTTCAATGGATAAGATATTTCCTCATTCATTTTGTTGTTGTTGGAGTGTTAACCATTATTAAGAAATTTTCTTATAAGGAAAAAATTTTGTCCATTGAAATTTTGAATTTTACACGTCACTTATCTAGCACTGTATTGAGTGGAACTGAAGAGAAGGGATAATGAAGGAGATTTAAATCCGAAGAATTCATGCATGATGCTAGGGATTTGTTGCCAAAGCTGCTTTGGGCTTTAGCATACACTTTTTAAAAAGAAATTTGGAGGCTAGACCTTTTTTGTGGACTTATTTGGATATAAGTCCATCAAGAAAACTTGTTTAATATTTAATCTATTTTGATCTTCATTATCCAAAATACCCTTATTAGTTATATTTAATTACAACAAATTTAAAAACTAACAACTCCTAAATTTTAGAAGGTTGACTAACTTTAAAATTTTATCTTTTATATCTATCTATATCCATAATAGGACTATTTATTTCTCTCTCTTTTATATATCCATATAATAAAACACCTAGGAGTTTTAATTTTTATCTCACACATATTTTTTCCCTCAAAACCTTCTCATCACCCAATTCTATCACATGGTTAATAATTTAATATTTGATTAATTTATAGTTTACCACAATTATTGTTTTATAAATTGTCCATACACGATAATATACACATATTGAAAAACATTTATCGGGTTATACATTTTGAGAAAATTTTGATGTTATTTTTTAAATATTAATATATAGAAATCAATTTTAAATGATCTAATCAAATAAACGAAGATATAAAAAATTGATAATTATTATAGTGGGATTAATTTTTGAAACGATCAAATTTTATGTTTTATCTTATTTTTAGGCACGAGTTATAACTAGTCTATATAATAAAGTAGAGCTGAGTTTGAATTTTAGAGATAAAGAGAAGTCTAAATCGTTTTAGAGACAAAATATAAACATATCCAATGGACAACGTAATTTTAACATAAAAGACGGTTCAGATCATCTTATAAATACTAATCCGACGATTATAATTGAACTTAACTCTAACACTTCTATCTCTCATATAACTGTCTGTCTCTCTCTTATCTCTTAGATGTTTTAAACTCATTGTCTCCTATCCTCTCTCTCTCTCTCTCTCTTTCTCTTATCTCTTATCATTAAATATTTATTCTTTTTAATTAATTTTTGTCTTGATTTAGTTGAGTATGCTTTGACATGAATTTATTATTATACATAGATGTTATGTGTTAAATATGTATTTCTATTTTCAATTGCTTATTTACTCAAAATTTGCATGTTTAACAATTGATCCCATCAGTGGTGTAATCACTAACAACACAAGACTACAATTAGTACCCAAATGAAAAAATATTTTTTTTGTTTGATTTCATAGAATGAACAAATATTAAATATTGAAAAAAAATTAATAGGTTCTACACATTCGTTTGAAAATTAGTTGAATTTCTAATAGAAAAAGTTAACTCAAAATAAAACTCAATCTAATCACCAATAAAAAAAATAAGTCACACCAATTGTGCAAAACAAACAAAAAAAAATTCAAAACCAACCTAATCACCAATATCTAATCCATAAATTCCCCCCTCAAGCTATTATTTATACAAAAGAAAAAAAATCTATTATAAGCAAACATACAGTTCTCAATATAATATATATAAAACAAAACAAAACAAAAACTCAAGCTAATCACCAATAAGAAAACAATTGATACTAATTGCACTAAAAAAATTAAAATAAAAAACAAGTGACCAATAAAAATAAAATAATTATGAATTGGTATGAAAGTTTTCGGATCATTTTTTTTTAATTAATTTTCATAATTACTTACGATTTTTTTGTTTATTATATAGTGTCTTCAAGTACGGACAATGGCTAGTATATATATAATAACATTAAAAATAAAAAATAGGAACATTCAAACACAAAAAATACTACCACTTAAACACACAAATATATATATATCAACAAAAAAAAAGTAACATTGAATATTGATATTTTGAAAAAATAATAACATTCAATATTAATAGTAATGTACTCATAAAAAAATAATAACATGTATAACAAAAAAATAGTAACATGCATTACATTCAATATTAAATTAATCATAGTTTTCTCAGAGAAAGAGAGAGAGAGAAATGGTAGTGATGACCAATTTAAATTTAAATTTAAGATTTTATGGAAAAATTCCATTAAGTGTGAATCAAGGATGAATGTTTAGGAAACTAATTTACTATTAAAGATTACTTTTTAAGTTATTAGATGAGCATTTTGGAGTTTTAAAAAATAGTAAACTTAACTACTTATTAGTAAAATTAAACATGGACTTTCCCCCAAATAAATTTTCTTGATAGATTAAACTCATAAATCCTTTAAAAAGGACCCAACCCCAATTTTTACATTTTTAAACACATAACTTCCATGGCCTTATTCCAAATGACACTTTTAAAATCTTGTCGGCACTATTTCTCAAGGATTTTCTACCACTAAATTTTACCATTTGGAGTAGGGACAGCAATGGACCAAAGCGGGGGCGGGGAGTGTAGTCTCCATCCTTGTACGCGCTTAAAAAATTTTTGTCCATCTCCGGTTCACCCTCGTTAATGGGTATAATTTTTATCCCCATCTCCGATCATGAATAAATTTGTAATCCTCGCCCTCGCCCCGTCCCCGCCTTCACCCCCCCGCTCAAGCCCAATATAATCCAATATTGTAAATAATCTAAATAAAAAAAAAATTGCATGTCACCAAGTGAAAATTACCATATAATTCTTCTCATCAATAAGGACTAGCATTTAGTATACTAAGTAGGTAAGAAGTCTATCAATTGCTTTTCAAGCAAAAAGCCTATCCAACAATTTTCAAAGAATAAAAATCATATTCAAGTAGAATAAACTTAAAACCAGAAAAAAAAAATCATATCTAGCACTATAATTAAAATTAAACAAAGACCATATTCAAGTAACATAAAATTAGAAAATTCAGAATATTGCATATCTAACAAAGAAAATCAGATGTAGCACATGAAAATTGCAGATCTAACACAAAAAAAAAATTAGAACAAGCAACATCTAAAAATCTCATATCTAACACACAATAGATCCAAAATAAAAACTCTCAATAACTAACACAACAATACAGACCCTTAGATCTAACAAAACCCATAACAAATCTAACAAAAACCATCAAGAAGAACACAAAAATAATATACTTGCCTTATTGGACAAAGAAAAAAAAAGCGGGCCACTAAATTTTGAAATTAACTTTATATGTGAGTATATATATCTATATAATAAAGTAGAACGATTTTGAATTCAAAAGATAAAAAGCGGCTTAGATCGTTTCGAGATTAAAAAAGGCATCATCCAACGATCGACGATATTTCAAACTGTCTCAAGGTATTAACGTCTCAGATCGTTTCGATCCGACGTACCATATTAGCTCTTAAAAAAAAATTCCGTTTAAAATTTTTAGTTTCAAAAATTAGCATTCCT